CGTCATTGGTCTGCTCGGGGAGGCGCGTACATCGAAGGCGGTCGTGGATAGTCAACTTTACACGTTCGTCGGCCGCGCACGGATGGCCGGCTGGGACATAGGCGCAGGTTCTGGTGAGCTCGCGACGGCATGGTTGCGATCATGGAGACGTTGGCAGGCGCACTGGAGGAGGACAAGTAAGGCTGATGGGATCCTTGACATGGTTTGAGTGTCGCTGACGATATGATAGACGTTGGCTTACGGTCTCTAGATTTATCCCATGGCCTGCATGTACCTGATTGCACATTACTCAATACGATATGTTATGACTGCTTCGCCATCTCCGCGCTATTGACGCCTTGATAAGTGTGCCGCTCGGCGCACCGGCTCATGGCTGGAGCGGTGAGCACGCTGGTCAGTAGCCTGTCGACCCCGGCTTCTTGGCCGACGCAGTAATCGAGACATCGGCAGATGAGTCAGAGGCGGGAAGAGGGTGCGATGGATAGTTTCATGCAGCTTGGACTTTGTAGCCGCCACGACAGACGTCGTTATGCGATCTATAGGCTCAGACCTTGTGATATACACTCTCGCTGCACATCGCTAAATACATTACGGCTCGTTCTGCGCCTTCCGGCTCTCTCTCGCCATGTTAAATGCCCCCACGTACTTGTCGACGTGCCCGCTCCTGGCCAGGGCCTCCTCACTTGACAAGTAAACCACCGTCGTCTTTTTACTCCCTAATCCTAGCTTCCTGAGTCTCTCGTCCTTGCGTATGTCCATAAGAATGACACCCCACTTGATCACCTCAAGCGCTTTCTTGCCTCGCAAGTCCCGCTCTCCAACCACTTCAACTGCAACCCAGGCCGCTATGCCCGAGAGCCGCCTGGCACAAGTGAGAAAGCGATAGGGAACATGTGGAACAAGACATCCATGTGTACTGGTAGCAGAGACTTGCACAGTAATAGGATCAGCGCGGTCGTAGAAGTGGAGTTGGAGCGCTTGTGGTCCGGTGCCTTGGTGCGTGTCATTGGGTGGGGATACAATGTAGCACGGCTCGGTGGCAGGTACTAGGGTTTGGCAATACTGCCCTGGCTCATTGGTGTGAACGTCCAGAGGATCCACCAGCTCCAAACGTGGCTCAAAGTACTCTAGCGCCGGTAGTGACGTCTCTCCGAGGAACGTGGCCCATGAGACGAAGAGTCCAAACGGCACGTCAGACTCGTATTGGCAGAAAAGGGCTGGCCACCACCATGGATGCATGTGCTTGATGAGCAATGTCCATGCAGACTCTGAGGAAGCCGACTGATAATAGAGCGGCAGCGTCTCGCACCGCAGGAAATAAGCGAGACCGGCGACCCTGTCGAGTTCGGTGGTGCAATGGCGATCCCTGATGGCTCGAATGGCATCGAATATCTCCAGACTTTGCAAGACGCCCCGCAGCCGAGAAAAGAACCCTGGGCTATCGACGTGAGGCGTCGCAGTGAGCCCACCGGGCAGCCAGGTATTCCGCGTCTCCTGCACGGTCCACACGCGATTGAACCAGTGCCAGTCCGACTCGACAACTGCTGGCGACGAATCGAACGGCAACCCCAAGCCGTTGAAATACGTGATGCACGGTCTCTCACGTGGCTCGGCTCGGTAGATGTGGCCGATGGTGGGTACATCGAGCTCCCATTCCTCGAGCCGAGCTTCGTCGTCGTCCACGTTGCCCACCTGCCATAAACAGAGGACGTCGAGCCAAACGTATCTGGCGCCCATGTTGAGTAGCTCGATGCGGATGTGGTCGAGGGATGTGCCGCGCGGAATCGTCACGCACCATCGGCGTCCGTTGATCACGGTCATGACGTACTCGCGGTCTTGTTCGCGGACCCAGCTGTGTGACACCGTCCACAGGTCATCGGGCAACCAACCGTCGTCCTCGTGATCTGTCCGAGGCATGACATGGAATGGGAGGACTCGGTTGCTGTACAGGTCCCACACACGTCGAGGAGGGATTTGCGAGTTCTGGATGGAGTGACCGCGAATGGCATTGTCCCGCCTTTGTTGAACCTCATCACGACGCTCCTTCATCTTGGCCAGTGCTGCGGCAGAGTCTTCAGGCCCCCGCCAGCACGACCACTCCGAGCGCAGTGTCCCATACACCTCCCCGAAATCGTGCAAACTGCCGAGCGCGTATTCCAAGCAGTCACGGACACCAGGGGTGTCGAGCGTATACGACGTCCCAAGGACACTGTTGAGTTTCGCGAGCAGATCGTCAATTGGCAGGAGGCCACGAGGGATGTCGGCGAGTGCATCGGGTATCGCACCTTGGCCAACGTGTACGCACTGGAGAGGGACGGTGGAAGGAGTGAGAGGAGTGAGAGTGTAGATCTCGCCTGGGCCTGAACACTCAGACCGGAAAAGGTTGTGGGTAGGCACGATGCCAGAGGCAGCCATCTGTATCGAGCCCCAGATAGCGGCCCGGGCACGTTCCCGGCTGAGATCGCTGAGCTC